GGGTGACAGTGCCATCATGCCTAAGAAAATAGGGGATGATGGTGTTTGTGGGAGCCCACGTAAGAGAGGATATCAAACTGCAGTAAGGTGAGTTGGAAGGATGTTTTGGGGAAGCAGTGTAATGAAGTAGTGCTGTATTCACATTTCCTTTGTCCCTTGTGTGGCAAACTGGATATATGATGTTCCTTTCACCCTCCTCAGAGGACTAACAAGTGTTGACAGGGCAGAGTTCCTGGATGTTGTGGTTTAACACCAGCTGGTAACGGAGCACCACACAGCTGCTTGCTCAACCCCACCCACCCCCAAGGGGATGGAGAAGAGAATGGAAAAAAAACCACCAACCTCGTGGGTTGAGATACAGTTTAATAAGATAACAAAAGAGAATAATAATATATATAAAACAAGTGATGTACAAGTGCAATTGCTCGCCACATTGGGGTGGGGGGGGAACAAACAATGCCTGGTCTGTTTCTGAGCAGCAGTCGCACCTCCTGGCTAGCTTCCCCAGTTATATACGGAGCATGATGCCATATGGCAGGGAATATCCCTGTGGCCAGCCTAAGGTCAGCTGTCCTGGCTGTGCTCTCCCAGCTTCTTGTGCACCTGGCAGGGTTTGAGCAGCTGAAAAGTCCTTGACATAGTGTAAACACTGCAACTACCTAGCAACAAGTAAAACCATCAGTGTGTTATCAACATTATTCTCGTACTAAATCCAAAACACAGCACTATACTGGCTACTAGAAAGAGAGTTAACTGTGTCTCAGCCAAAACCAGGACACTGGGTGAGAACAAGTGAAGAGAAAATATTTCTTAAGGCAGCTCTTCGGTATGCTCTTTATGTTTTCTGGATGACGTGAGTAAATTCTGAAGCAGAAAGTCTTGGTTATTGCCAAGATGAGAGTGACGGGGACAAGGAGTCCTTGCTGTGAGCCAATGTGACTGACCTTGCTGCTTCCTGAATTTGGCAGAGCATGCAGAAACCTCGTGTTGTGGGGCAGTGTATTGGGTTTGCATGGCAAGGTTTGGGGGGGTGGGGAGGGGCCTACATGAGTGGCTTCTGTGAGAAAATGCTATGAAGCTTCCCTCATGTCCCATTAGCCTTGGCCAGGGGCTTTATCAGCAACGGTGGTAGTGCCTCTGTGATAATATATTTAAGAAGGGGTATAGAAAACTTCTGCAGAAGAGCAGCTGCAGAGAGGAGCGAGAAGATGTGAGAGGAACAGCTCTGCAGACACCAAGGTCGGTGAAGAAGGAGGAGGGGAGGTGCTCCTCTATTCATTCCCCTGCAGCCCATGGAGGATGATGGTGGAGCAGATATCCACCTGCACCCCGTGGAGGACCCCACGCCAGAGCAGGTGGAGACACCTGGAGGAGGCTGTGTGACCCCATGGGAAGCCCACACTGGAGCGGGCTCCTAGCTGGACCTGTAGCCCCATGGAGAGAGGAGCCCATGCTGAAACAGGTTTGCTGGCAGGACTTGTGACCCCATGGAGGACCCACGCTGGAGCAGTTTGTGAAGAACTGCAGCCCATGGGAAGGGCAGCCCGTGGGAAGGATTCAGGTTGGAGAAGTTGGTGGAGGACTGTCTCCCGTGGGAGGGACCCCAGGCTGCAGCAGGGGAGGAGAGTGAGCAGCAGAGACAATGTGTGATGAACTGACCACAACCCCCATTCCCTGTCCCCCTGTGCCACTGGAGGGGAGGAGGTAGAGAAATGGGGAGTGAAGTTAAGCCTGGGAAGAAGGGAGGGGAGTAGTGGGTGTTTTAAGGTTTGTTTTTTATTTCTCATTACCCTATCTGCTAATAAATTAATTTTCCCTGAGTTGAGTCTGTTTTGCCTGTGTCGGTAATTGGTGAATGATCTCTCTCTGTCCTTATCTTGACCCGCGAGCCTTTTGTTGCATTTTCTCTCCCCTGTCCAGCTGAGGAGAGGAGTGATAGAGTGGCTTTGGTGGGCACAGGCAGGATGTGATTGGTTTTGCTAGGCCACAGCTGGGGTGTTTTGTGCCAAATGTGTAGTATTGTAAAGGCTTAGAAAGGCCACGTGCCTGTCACCGCTCAGAGGTGTTGAGCGGGTAGATGCCACCCAGGTGGTGTTACCAAGACTTTCTCCTTCAGAAGGGAGCCAGTGCAAACCCTCCTGTTCCTTCTTGCCCCTACCATCATCCAGAGAACAGAATGAGCGTATGTAAGTGCTGCCTTAAATGTTTTCTGATTGCTAGTTCTGTACACCCAGAGGTGTAAATCCAGAAAGAATTGTTGATATTATTTTTACATTGTGGTTATAAGAAGTGTTTAAGATTACCGTCACTGAGGGATATTGAAGAAACATAGCAACAGAAAATTCCAGAAAAATATCTTATGCATTCATCAGCACATGAAGAATTGGTAGAATTGGTTTTGCTGTTTCTTGTGTTGTTTGTGTTGGTCTTCTAGTCAGCAGTCAGAGGAGAGGAGGAATATTTTAAGAAACACAAAGTGTAAATAACACTCTGGGGATCTCACAGCAGGGCTAGAATATGAAACTGTGTTTTGGTGTTGTGGGGTTTTGTTCTTCCCCCAGTAAATCGAGCTATGAGCTATTCCTACTGGTAGTGAGATGGTGAAGGTGGAATGTCTGGATTTCAGTAGTTTACAGGCTCTGCTGTGGGAATCATTTTGTTGCAGACTTAGCAGAGCTATGGTGGATGTGCAGCCGGAAAAGACTGTCTCCGAGTCTTAACAGACTGAACAGGCCACACGGTTTTCCTGCACCTTCTGGCTGGTTTCACAGTGTGAGAAATGTGATAATGAATTTAAAGGTGATGGGACAAGAACAGTCTATTAAAGCGAGAGTTAGGACTGAGAGGTGACCTCTCAGAATTTGCAATGCAGCCAAAATATAGCGTAGTGCAGAGCTCATACCGCTCTCTGTACCAGATAAAAACCTTGAACTTGTCTTGTGCATGCTACTGAGTGGAGAGAGAAGCAAAGACATGTTGGGGAGAGTGGGAGACTAGACTACTGCTAATGACTGCAGCGATTGAGAGAGAAATCAAAGGCTGAGAGAACAACAACAATGCAGTTGTACAGGGCTGGCACCACTGTGCTTGTGTCACTGTCTCTGAGACATCCCTCTCAGTGGAATTTGGGGGTGGGAAGTGCCTTGAGAAGCTGTTTGGGTCAGGTGTGCCCTGTGCTCTCTTCCAGATCAATCTCACATGTCTTTTGAGGAACTACTGCGAGTGCAGAGTGATACAAGAGTGTGCAAGCAGGTGACTGGTGGGAAGAAAACTGCAAAACCTACCAAAGCTACAGTGAAGCAGCAGCAAAGCAAGAAAGGGTAACGGTGTTCTTTTGTGATCAGAAGAATGTGCATGTGTGTTCTCTGCACTCCAGAAGTTACGCTGGGAGCTCTACACAGCGTTGCCATTGCCTTGGAACTGGTGTAGATCTCCTTTAATGTGCTACACAACAATGCCTTTCACTATAGCATTTCGTTTAGGAATGGTCTGTTGCTGTTTCAGAGCTCTCAGTATCCTACGCTGTTCAAATCCCCAACAGCCACCTGTTACTGAACAGTTAAATTGGCACTCGATTCCTTTACACGCTCCATATTAAGGCATTTTTAACCCGCAGCATGCTATGCTTCTCTTTTAAGCTGTATGACAGTGCTTTACCTGTGTTCCCTGGGCCCTGAAATATTTATGCTGCTGTTTTCTAAACCCCTTCCAGCTTGTGAGCATCTTCTGCCTGGCTCCTGCTGGCTGGAGTTGCAGTGATAGCCAGTTGTTCTGGAATTTCATTCATCCTTCTTCTGTTGTCTCATCTGTGGCTTGTCTTTGATTTTCCTTTTTCCCCCTCTACACTACTTATCATCATAAGCTTTTTCCTGTCCTCAGTGGTCTTTACATCTCCTATTTGCATACTCTGTAGTTGCTATTGATGTGGTGACTATAAAATGTATTCGGCACAACAAAAACTATGAGATTTTTTTTTTTACAGTCTCCCACTGGTAACAACTGTTATACTGTTAGCCTTTATTTGCAGTAGTTAGCTGGTTTTCAGTCCTCAGAGTCATATCTAAGTAATTTGAACAGGTTTCCTTTGTTACACTGACATTTCCTAGCCTGTTTCTGAATCTCTGCTGAATACATGTTTCTTCTGCCATAAACAGTTGATTAGAATAATGTTTCTGCTTTACCTTTTACCCAAGAGTCTGGGAGATTGTGTGTAGTGCAACATCTTCACACAGCGTCTCTATTTCCGCCACATGGTTTGCATAATTCTGTTTTTATTTAATTCCCCTAATCCTTTAAGTGATGCATCATTGTAAATCCCACATGCTGTTTCTCTCATGTTTTTGTTATGGAAGTGAGCTTCTTAAAAGAGAGGAAAAAAAAAAAAAAGACTTCAGGGAAATCCCCTGGAACTAAGCTGGCTTCAGCAATGCTGTATAAAGCTGACTCGAGAGCATTGTACAGGGGTGTAGCCACATCGGCGGGCACAAAAATACTCTGAACGCTGCCCTAAGTGGCATGTGGAAAACTTCCTTATGCCTGCAGGGTTGTTTATGCTCCTGCCTCAGTGTTACTGCATTGCTGAATGTGGATATAATGCCACGTTGTGGGTACTCTCAGTGCGTGGTTCACAGATCATTTCATGTTTCTGTTAACTTACCTGATGTACTGACAAATTGCAGGACATGGCATCCAAGTAATATGGGGAGAGTAATACCCTGTTCTCCCACCTTATACTGCCCCCCTCATACACGTAAAGCATCAAGCTCTGAAGGCCTGTGTTGCAGGAGAACCTGTTTACTTCATTGGTTGTCGCCATGGTCCTGATTCACTGGGAAGCCTCTTTTGAGATATGTACTATAAGCTGTATGGCCCTCGTTCCTGGGGGCTGACCTTTTCTTTACTTGTCTCATGGTATGCTTTCTCACTGAGCCTGGCCACAGTAGAACTGACTTGTCTTTGTAACTACCAGGTCAGTGCAGAAATTCCCAACTTTGGTCTCACCTTTCAGTGTAAGTATTAGTCAAGAGTGGATGAGTCGGCAGGCCAGGAATAGAAGAGGGTTGTTGCATGATGAATGAAAACATGGAGAGGGAGTGGAATAATTGAGTATGGCGCATTTACTGACGCAAGTGGCGGGTTTTCACTTGATCCTACATGAGTTTTATGTAGGATTGTTTTAATAACATGTTTATAGATCGTTTGGTTGTAGTAGCCCTGTCTGGTTCTTGACTGAGTGGTGTCTCTGTAGGTATTGCGGTGAGGATTGAGTGAGAGAGTCTGCCATTTTGGCACTGTGCAGTCATGTTCTCCTGAGGGTCTGGCTAACCTCCTGACACACTAGCCTGGGCCTCATTCTGTCCTCTGCTCCTCTTAAGCACATTTTTCTCTTTTTTTTTTTTTTTTCCAGGCCATTGGAAATGTCTGCCAAGAAGCCTGTACCTTTTCTGCGACAAGTCGTCTCTGTTACAAAGAAGGTGGGTGCTCCCCCTCCCCAGTTCAGGACCTGACTTCCCTCAATGATGCTGATAGGGCACAGACATGGTAATGGGACTACTGCAGATGACACAGGCTGTTTCTGGAGGATAGAGGCTGGACTGCTGTCTGGTGAGCACAGGTAGTGCTAGCGTGTCTCTGGGGAGAACAAGAGATTTGGTGTAGGAGTGGCTGCTCTCTGTATGACCTGCTCACTGTGTAATGTACAACTTGAGGAGTAACTTGAACATTTGAGACCTAAGTGTTGCTAGAAGATGTAACAGCTGCCACTGATGACAATTGTATTGCAAGCTATGCTCATTGTTCAATGCTAATCACAGTGGAAGTTCAAATGTCCGTCTCGTTCCTAATTGAATATAACTGACTTATGATTGCTGGATCATCTTAATACGTTAATTTCCACAGGTAGAGATCTCTCTTTGTCTCTTTTTGTATGCCGTAACCCAGGTAATCTGTGAGAATCTAGATAGGTTTAAATTCCCAAATCCATCACCTTGACAATACATGTTCAGCCAGCTCTTGGTCTGGGAGTTGCAGGTGTTTGGAGGCAGCGCTTATGCTCCTGTTCCTTGAATTGGCTACTTCTGAGTGGTAGACTTGCACATCTGTTGCTTGGTAGACGGGATGCAGCCATGATGACTTTGTGAGGGACTGCCACCTTGATTATTGGACTCAGTCTTTGCCAACTGCAGATGTTTTCAATGGTGGGTGCTAGTTAAAAAAAATAAAAGGCGAGGTCTGATCCATGAGAGGAGAGTTAGCAGGCTATTAACAGGGTAATCCTGGCCACAGCTTTTACCTCTGCCTTCCCTCCTTTCAGGTTCACAGAGACCCTCGATTTGATGACCTGTCTGGAGAGTATAAGCCTGAAATATTTATGAAGACCTACAGCTTCCTGGACAGCATCAAGAAGCAGGAGAAGGAGGTGATGCTCTGTTCCTGTCCTTGGCCAGAAGAATGTTGCTTGGCAGGGGCAGCTTCTGCAAAGGTCTTTCAAAGTAGAGGTGGCAAGCAGACAGTCATACAACTTTCTGCTCTCTTCTTCAGATGATTCAGAAGCAGCTGAAAAAATGCCGGAACGCGGAGCAGAAGGAAAAACTCCAGCAGCTTCTGAACCGCATGGTGAGTTCAGTGCAGCATCTCCCCTCTTGTGAGGCAATGTACTAGAAGAGAGGATGCATGACCTCAGGTCTGCCTAGATACTTGTTGACACAGGCCATCCTTTCTGTACAGACACAGCAAGAACAGGCACAGAAAAAACAGCAGAAATTGAGGGAGAGGGAGCTGTCTTTGAAGAGACAACGGAGGGAATTGGCCAAGCAAGGAAAGAAACCCTTCTTCCTAAAGAAATGTAAGTGCTCAGTGTGAATGTGCTGCAGGAAGACCTAGAGGGAGTCCTGCTGACAGGACTCCAAGCACTGGAAATGAGTAGTCTACAATATCCTATGGAGCTGTGGAGAGATTGTTCTACTGCTGGTACTCAAGTGACAAGCCAGGGAGGAGGTGAGGAGGGGTCTGTAGAGATGATTTGGGCTTCAGTTTAAAACCTTGCTCCCCTCTTCTCTACAGCTGAGAAGCGGAAATTGGAGCTAGCAGAGAAGTATGCAGAGCTGAAGAGGAGTGGAAAGCTGGAGAGCTTCCTGAACAAGAAGAGGAAGAGGAATGCTATCAAAGACAAGCGCCGTCTGCCCTCACAGAAGAACTTGTAACTGCTGGACAGACGTGCTGTTGTCTAGCACTGGGATTCACTCTGCCCTGGCCAGGCCTGGAAGATGGCCATCCCTCTTCCCAGTATCTGCCTGTGACTGTACAGTGATGCTGTTAGGCAGGAGAGCAGAGGCTGAACTGAAGGAAATAGTGCTTTTTGTAGCTGATATGTCGTCTTTACTTGTTATTTACACCATGACTGGGTGGTGACAGGTCTGTCATGCAGATGTATGTGGTGTTGACAGCTGTCTCTGTCCTTGTCCCTGCTCATCTCTTCCTCTAGCCAGGAAAGCATGAGCCCTACCCCACATTGCTGGCTCTGCTCCAGGTCTTATCAGACACCAGCTCAGGTGGGAAAGGATCTCAGGTGGGAGGTACAATGCCTATGCAGAGCAGGGCTAGCACTGACTTCAGACCAGGTTGCCCAGGGCTTCTTCAGTTGCATCTGGGAATATCTGAGGACAGATGCTACCATCTCTCTTGCCCTCTGCTGCTTCAAGTTCTCAACATGGAACTTTTTTTTTTCCTCCAGGAAACCTGCCTGGTTTTAGTCCATAATCATTGTCTTGTTCTCAGTGAAGTGCCTGGCTCTGTCTTCTCAGTAGCCTTGTCATAGGTCAGGGGAATGGGTGGGAAGGGGTGCTGTTAGGTCTCTCCAAAGCCTTCTCTTTCTGAAGGTGCGTAAACCCTGTTCCCTCCGCCTTTCCTTGTGGTGCTTCAGCCTCTGATGACTTTCACATACTCAACTGGAGTCAGCCCATAGGACCACCATCTCTCTTCTGGGGGCCCAGCCTGGATGCAGTATCTGGATGTAGTCTCAAAGTGCTGAGTAAAGGAGAGAGGTTCACACCCCTCTGTGTGGGCTGCACCCTGGTGACGCAGCCCCCCTTCCTCGCAGCCAGGGTATGCTGCTGGCTGTGCTCAGGTACTGCTGCCTCTCTTCTTGGCTTCTCAAGGTGGTGTCTACAGGTGCTTCTAGGAAACTGATTCTGTATGAAATAAAATACCTGTTTTCCTTTATTCCCAGTGTTGGTGCTGTTCAGTAAGTTCAAACACTTTTGACTAAGTTAATACCTGTCTCGCAACATTACAGTTGACCACCAGCTCTCGTTTCTCCTCACTCGTGACTGCCCGTCTCCTGTGGCTGTGCAGGTGAGATGATGTGGCCATGACTCAGTTGATCTCTGACAGGTCAGAGTGTGTGCTGGGGGAGAGCCTCAGCTCTGCAGGGCAGAGTGCTCCCTGGGCACAGCCCTGCTGTGTGCGGGTGGGCAGCTGGTCTGGGGGCCTGAGGAAAGGCCTTGCAATGAGCAAGAAATGGAATGATTAGCAACTCCATCATGCCTGCCTGAGGGTGTTGCTGAAGCATCTGCCTCCACTGCAGTTCCTGTGGGTGACAGTTTTGCTCTGGTGACAGGTTTTAGTGTAGCTGGGGGAAGGCGGTAGAAATGGGATGGACCACCTTTGGTAGAGACCACATGGAAATTCTGGGCTGCCTTTAACCTGCTTGTGGCTTATTGCTTTGCACTGTGCCCAGCTTCTTCCTCCTTGCCTTGTGATGTGGGAGGCAGAGCCTGCTGCATCCTCGTGCCTTCAGAGGAGTCACCTTGGGAGCAGTGTGGCAGCACCGAAGCCTAAGGCTGTCCTGGCCCCTTTGTGGCTTTGGTCTGCTGTTTTATGCTCAATTTTTAATCCAAAGCTGAACCAACCTCCACCTGTACATTAACGCAAGAAGACTGGGGCCTGGACAGACTGGAGGTAGCTCACCCTGGGTCAGTGCTGCCAGGGCTTTGCTGACAGGCCACATGGGAGCAGCATTCCTGAGTCCATTTGTCCCTACCCCAGCGGCTGGTAGGTCCTGCCCTGTAGTGAGCAAAGCTGGTGCACCCCCTAAGTGGTCCTGTTTTCCCCTCCTGCCCCTCTGGAGCCAAATGGCTCCTTTGTGCTGACACCTGTGTGCCTGCCTGCAAGGAGGACATCCTCACTGGCATGTCACCTGCTTCTGTTCACCACATTAGTGGTGAGGAACAAGTCCACTGGCCTGTCTGTGGCTCCTGGGCCCAGTATCCTGCAGCAGGGGAAGCCCTGGGGCATTGCCCAGCTCAGCCAGAGTTGTGGTGGCACTGGGTGTTGGGGCAGGTGGCAGCAAGGCAACACCAGTTCCAATAGGAAGACACGCTTCCAACATCTCCAGAGAGGCCAGGGGAGCTGCTCTTCCCCATGGCCTCCTAGCCTCAAGGAGTCAGTTGGGTTATTTTCCTTCTGTTTCTAATGCTGTCCTGGCAGTGTGTCTCTGCTGAATCTCCTCCGGTGTCCTCCAGGTAGAGTGTGGGGACTGGCTATGGGTGTTCTTGGGGAGGGCAGCTATTGGGCATGGCTGGCACCAGTTGACATAACAGCAACTGGTTGCCCAGGCAGTGGTGACTGACAAAGCTTAGGGCCCTGCCTCTCCTCTTCCCAACTGCTGGCCAGGAGGAATGGCTTCAGACCCAGGTGCCTGGGATACTTGATCCAGGCCTGGGTGGTCACTGAGCCACCTGCTCTAGATGCGCTCTGCAGCCGCAGCTGGACATCCAGGCACCCATGAGAGCTGGAGGGACCTGCCTGCTGGCAGGGACACAGACATGAAGAGGCTGCAGGCCCTGCCTCTCCTCTTCCCAACTGCTGGCCAGGAGGAATGGCTTCAGACCCAGGTGCCTGGGATACTTGATCCAGGCCTGGGTGGTCACTGAGCCACCTGCTCTAGATGCGCTCTGCAGCCGCAGCTGGACATCCAGGCACCCATGAGAGCTGGAGGGACCTGCCTGCTGGCAGGGACACAGACATGAAGAGGCTGCAGGGCTCAGGTCTTTTATTGCAAAGAGGGAGATATGAAAAAAAAACACCAGTCACCCCCTCTGCAGCTGGCTGAGAGGGGTGACAGGCAGGGGGGGGCCTGGGCCTCGCTCCCCCAGCATGGGGACCCCAGCTCACATAGTGGGGAGCAGGCTGCTGCCAAGCTGGAGCCAGGGCCAACCACCACAGCGGAGCAGGTCACCTGCAGTGTCCCTTGTGCAGCCCCCTGGCCTGAGCCCTGGCTGGCCAGAGGGCAGTGCTGTGTGGGGAGCACTGATGGGGGGAGCCCGGCGCAGGGTAGGGCAGCCTGGCCCCAGCCAGACGTGGTGTGCGGCAGGCAAACCTGGCCTCCGCCGCCGCTCTGCCCTGCTGCCTGTCTCATGCGGTGGGATGCTGAGGTCCCAAACTGCTCTGCAGCCTTATGTAGGCTGCTACAGGGGGCTCTCACCTCAGGGACTGGAGCAGCTTCGTCCAGGGAGGGAGGGAGGGAGCAGGGTCATTGCCCTTTGTCCAGTCGGGGAGCTCAACGGCCCGCCTTGGGTTTGCAGATATGGCCAA